GTGTATAATCATAAGGTTTATTAAATATTATTAATGGCAACCCTGTCACATCTTGTGTCGGTTACTCGTGATGTAACATTCGGTCATCGGTTGAAGTCGTTGCTGTTTACGTTTTTTTTAATGTTCATCAGTAAGTATTACGGTCATCGGTGTAGTGTTGTTGCGTAATGTGCGATCGGTGACTTGACTTCTGCTCATCGGCTTGTTACTGCTTAGTAGATCACGTTTACGCGTATTAATGTTGTACAACACTACCTTATGTTCTACAGCTATAAGTATTTATATATAATGTAATTAAATAGAGTATTGAAATAAAACCTAGAACATTGACAATAAATAATTTGATAATTGTTGATCATTCTTGATAAAAATGTTTATTACTTTAAAAATTAATTTTGTTACAATAACACATTGGGATGCTTAGTAAGCGATACCCGTGTCAGGTACATTCTATTTGTATAAACTTTACAATTATCAAAAATAAAGGATGAAGTATGATATATATTGGTTATTTAAATAAATGGATTATTAAATAGTGCTCGTAAAATTATTGTTTGATTATTATTTATTATTAAATATTATCATCTAGTATCAAATGTTATGTACACAGCAAACTATGATTTTTTGTGTATAATTTAGTTAATGCAATCTTACATTTGTTTATTCAGTATCCGGGTCAACGTTTTCTCTGCAGTCCGTTCTTTAGTTAATTTTAGTAAAAATATCTTCTCTTATATTTAATTAAAAAATATGTATTTCTTTTAGATAGTTACCTCAATTAACCCGTAGCTTAAATAGATATGTAGCTGCTAAATTTTTGTTTATTATGAATATATACAGCTTGCACCCACGCATATTCTACTCGCTTGAAGTATAACCTACATTACTTGGTAATAATGATTCTTTCTTCATTATTTTCTGAAGTCCATTATTTTAGAGTTAGTTCTTTTTAAAGAAAAAATTAAACTTTCCTTATTGTAATATTAGTTTAGAATCACCTACTTCTTTTTAAATATACCGTAATGGATCTAAGAGTGTTCGTAAGAGTTACTACAGTGCATAATTTGTCTAGTTTGATGTACTGCAAATAGGAAAAAATTACAGGCTGTAATACAAAGAATGAATGTTGTAAGTCGTATTTAATCGAACGGTTTTTCCGAATTGCGCCTATTGCATCGCACCCACAAGGTTGTGTAGTATACATTGTGGAATAGGAGATGTATAGAGTAGTCATAGTTATTTTATTCCTAACATTATATAATATGACAAGTATTTACATTGATAGAATTAGGTTATATTGTAAATTGATGGGGTTCGCAGAGAACATGCGTAACATTTTTTCAATACAGCTGCGCTTCTATTAGATATATAATCTATAGTACAATGTCATATAGCCTTCCTTGATAAATAGGATACCCTACACTAAAATAGATGTAAAAATTAGATCAATGGTAACGGAGATTAGACCTAAAAATTTTATTCTTTATATATCTAATTAATCTAATTCTATCTACAATAATTTCATTCAACTGTTCATAATATGTAAATACGTGTAGTAATTGTTGCTTAATCAAGTCTATTAATAACAAATAAATAAAAAAGTCGTAACTCTACTCACAGATAGAACTGTGCTAATCGACTCAGTGGCCTACTTTATTCGGATTGTATACAATATACTGCCACGTAACTCTGGGCTTCCCTGTTCCTGTCAAGGACTCCTGTTGAAATTGCACCTCAGTACTTCTTTGGGAATTTACGGCAATAATATTTCATTATTCTCAAGGCACGATAAGTTTGTAAAATATCTCTTAAATATGAATAATAATAATTTCTGAGAATAGTTTTGTCTATGTTATATTGTGTGTGTTATAAACTGTGGTTTCAACAAATGCATTATCAATGTCTTTTCCTTCTACTGTTGTTAAGTAAATAATATTTCATTTATTTATGGGTAAACATTTAATCGTGTTTATTTGTAATGCAACAAACATATTAAGGACACGTCATAGTAAGTATCAGGATTGGCAGTAAGAAAAGTTCATTTTCATGTTTCTTTATAAGTTAAATCTATATTATGAGTATGGAGGTAAAATAAGACAGAAATGATAATTTAAAATGGCTTAGATAGCCATATCTAAGCAATTTTAAGTTATCATTCAAGTACCTATATATAGTTTGTAAAATTCACTAGCAAATATACCAAATTTTGACATCTACGTATTGGTGGTTACTGGTCATTAAAGGTACGGTACATATTCCTTCGCTAGCGGTGTACGAGGGTCGGCCATGAGTATAATATCAGGTCGATTAGTTCATTGTAGCTATTTTACCAGGAATTAGCGACTATTTCCACCGAATCACGACGTACGAGACGAAAGACGAAGTTACGGGCGCTTATGTCTTCGATGTAGAGTGATCTACCACTCATTGGGTGGGTATTGTATATATAATATATATACCTATATACCTAATAGGTCTAATAAATTGTACGTAACAATAGAAATTGGAAACTCGTGGCTGTTCGCCGGGCCGTGACAACAATGCTGACGCTACTTCCGTCCTGGTGAAAGCATGTAGTTCTTTAGACCATTATTAGTTAATTTAAAAAAAATTTGAATACTTACATTAATTGGAATAAGTATTTATTTAAAGCGACATATATTTATTAAAAGTCGTTTTCGTCTGTTTAGCTATTTCGCTACTACCTCTACTATTTACGAAGTCCAACAGTTTGCTGTGTTTCGGTTGAAAGGTGAGATAAAGCAAAAAAATAACAGCATAAGAGCCATCACAGTCTTCGGGATTAGCAATGTGTGAGTGGTATAACGAGAGTCATGATAACGTTAACACTTACATTCCGAAGGGCCGTCTGCTAGTTTGCTATTACATAAAAAAAGTCTGAATTGTTCATTAGGTCACCTTGTTTGATAAGTATAAATAAGCTATTAAGAATTTATGACTACGAGCACGAGCAATGTACCCACTTTACTACTCCATTTCTATAATCCACAAAAACAAATTATTTTAATAATTAATTTATGTCCGCCAAAAACTTTATGTTTAAATATACTACATTTGAATTTATTATCATCATTTAGGTATACTTTGTATAAATAGTAGTAATAGTAGGCAGCTACTCCGTCCCCGCCCTGATTCTCATAACTTTGTGAGTTTTGTATTTATTAATACTATATATAGTTCATGGCGTTCTAAATATTAATTAGCTTGGCTCAATTAAGTTACCCCTACATTGGGGACAGAGATTTGAATGCAGCAAATTCATACCGACAGAATAGCAATTTGCAGAAGGACAGAAAACCTGTTACAATACAACGTCTAAAAAACTAAATAAGAATAAAAGATGAGGATTTTCATTGGGGCTCTTTGGCATTAATAATTCAGTATTATTATTATATATTATAATTCATTATTAATACAGTAACTAGAAAAAATCTTATCTTTATTAGATACCATTTTTAGTGCAAAAAATCTGAGATACTAATTATATTATATTTTGTTTTATTATGTTGATTATTCTCGATTTTTAAATATAATTTTACATTTTGACTAATAGTGACATCTATTACATTATACACAAACTTGACGGTGATTTAATAAACAAAAGGTGTAGTGTAAATAACCGAAGCTTTAAAGCACAGTTTCAAGCAAGTTTTAGGTTATTTAATTCATGCAATATTGAATAGATGGCGTTATACATAAGCTAATGTATATGGATATTTAAAGAGTACAGTACAGTAAGTATTTAAGTCATTCACTGCAATAAATTGACTACCTTCATATATAACTACCAACAGTTTTTAACGGATGTATATGGAATTATAATATATAAAATGAAATATAATAATAATAATAATATGGAAAAGCGTTGACGGTAGGCACTGACAGGGCGGACACAGGGATAATAAAATAGGCATGAAGTTCTGACAGTTACCCTACTATAACATGTTAGTTACTTTTGTCTGGTATTTCGCTTATTTAGAAATAATAAATAATACGTGGCGTTGTTTACCCGTTAATATTTTTACTTATAAATAATTAGAGGTAGAAGGAGACAGAAAAATAAGTACGGATTACAAACCACAGCTTACAAAGTTTAAAAAGCTTTTTGTAACCTACATTTGTTTTGTTTCCTACTTATCACGGACGTCCAATGATTTTCCATGGTTTCAACACCATGAGGTGCATAGTCATTTTGTTTCTTATTCCAATTATATAAAAATTAATTGAACATAAAGTTTATTTATCAATTGAAAAGATACAAATCAGATTTACAGTGGAGTAGTAGAAATATTTTTAATTTCCCATTGTAGTCTTAATTATGTTATATAATATAATATAATAAACAGGTTTAAGGCTATTATTACAATGATTCATAAATCTGAATATTGAAAAGCTAAAGAGGATTATCTAATATACTATACATATTATTACAACTAACGAATTATTGGACTATCATTGATAGGATAATAAACTGGCCACTTTTATTTTAGTGGGCGTTTAGTCGTGAGTAATAATTATTTTAACTATCAATAAATAGTAGTTTTTGCTAGGAAATATCTTGCTAAACTTGATATGATAATTTTTTAATTAAAACTAATTACATCTTAGTCATTAGAATGATTGTACATATCAGGGTTCGCTAACTGCTAACAATAACGGATCTAATAAGACAACGGCCTTGAATCTTTAAAACTTTTAAGTTATGAACTACCTATGCTTTTTCATGTACTCAATGATATGTATATATCGGACTCATAGTGTCACTAAATGCCAACCTATCATTAGCTACCGTGTAGTAAGTACCATATGTTTCACATTTACGACCTTTTGATAATTCATGTCGGTGACAAACAATACGCAAGGACGATCACTTTGTATTCCTATAAGTCCATATTGATCTCAATAGAATCATGTATAAGTTCTTATGATTTGTATAAATAGGACACGCTACACAATTTGGGTATCAGTCGACCGTGTTTGGTGCGAAGTGATCTTAATCCGATCAAAACACAGACCTCGTTCAGGATGAGACGTTTGGTGGTGTTTATCGCTCTATTTGCGGCGGCAGTGGCGGCCCCTCAATATTTGGTGCATCCTGCTTACTCTCCTGGTGTCGAGTTGGAAGCTCTTGGTAGTCTTCTAGATACCGCTGAGTTTACATATCCTAGAGCACTGCAAGGACATATTCTCAAGAAGAGATCCGTGCTTCCAGTTTCATATTCTTTACCATCTGCAGTATCGCATCAATCTCGTGTGGATGTTCGTACTTCTCCAGCTGTAGTAGCTACCGCTCCCGTTGTCCAAAATGTTGTGGCTGCTCCGGTAGTCGGCGAGCCAGCAATAGTGGAGGCGCGTGCGGTGTACTCTGCACCCGTTGCTGTCTCCCATCAGTCACGAGTTGATGTACGTGCTACACCTGCCGTAGTGGCTCCCGTGGTAGCGTCTCGTGCTGTGGTACCTCCTCCTGCTGTTGTTGCTCAACCCATTGTGGCACGTTCGTACATTCCTGCCAGTACAGTATATGCTGGAGGATCTGCTGTCACTCATCAATCTCGTATCGATGTAGAAACCTCGCCTGCTGTGGTAACTGAAGAAATACTAACACCAACTCTTGTGGAAAGTCGATCAGTGTTAGCGCCTTCAGTATACAGTACCATATGGTGAAGCAAAAGATTCTGAAACGAAACGATTGTATTATTTTTGATGATGGAAATAAATAATTTAACAACAAATGTTTTGTCTTTATTTCATTCAAATTTTTAGTAGAAATCTAAGGTCTATATTTAGAGTAGGTAATATTTAAAGAAAACAATGTAAAATGACACTATTTTATTACATCTGGTCAGTGAAAAATGTATATTAAATGTACATGTTATAAAAAAAAAGGTTTTGAATAGAAGTGAGGAGACGTTGTTTTCGTATATTTCGCAATTATAAGTAGTTTTGAAGCACGGGAATATTTTTTATGTACGCGTAATTATTTTAAAAATGAAAATTTATTGGAGTAAGAAACTAATTTTGGTAATATTGGTTACAGTTATTGGTAGTATTAGTCAGTCACATAAGACAAGTCACATAAAAGATGTATGAATTGAATTTGTTGCAACTCGTATCTATCTCCTATGATATCCGGCAATTCAAGGTCGGGCGGATGTTAGGTTCGATTACTATGTTATGACATGATCAAAATCTAAAATTATATACCAGTTATTTATGTTTACATCTTTATAGACAAATTATTAATATTATGTGGCATAATTCAATTCAGTATTATAGAATTATTGTTATTACCGGTATTTAGATAATACAGAACTTTTTTGATTCAGTATCATGTACATATAACTCTATGGTTAGTATCTATGAGCGTTTGTATGTAAATTGTCACACTTTATGCTTGCACTCATGGTATAGAGAATTTCGAGTATCTCTGTATTGTAGGAGCTGTAAGTTAAAGAAACTTACTGCTAAACAGAACAGAGCAAAAAGAATAATTTTAGTATAATTACATATACTACTACTGTATGTAATTATTTATAAATTAATGACACCAATTATCACTCGTCCGTTGTGCAAATGCTCTTTAGCTTATTCAGATCTACACACAATCACATGCGAATGTCGCGTTAATTAAATTCTCTTACATGAACACAATGATATTTAGTTATTAAACTACTCTACTACCACAAATATTATTGAATGAATAACATTCTTGCTAATATTAAATTATATTTTGTATTTACATTATCAAGGTAAAAGTGCCTCAGGTAGTATAACATAAAGTTAACCCTAGGCGCAAGGTGAATTACTTTCACAATAACTGTTGACATTGTAGGCACACTAAAAATTTTAATATTTATGAAATATGAATCTAATTCGATAGCTATAAGTTTTAAATGGCGAAGAACATAGTGGGTAGAATATAATAGGAACTTATTTTCGTATTATATTGAAGCATTTGGTTTAAAATAACTGTAAATCTATTAATAACTGTATTTTCTTAAATTCTTTACTGAACACTTGTTAAAATGTTTCCCTGTCCCTGACACTATTCCTGTTATAAAAAGTACTGAACTTCTTTAGCAAACTGAGCATTACATAAACCCATTTATTGAACAAATAAATTTAAAGCAAGTACAGCTAAGAATGTACTTATTAAATGTAATCGCAACATTAACAAACTATTGAAATAAGTTTCTAAATATTTTTTCTTTAATTAAACATCAATATTTAGAAATAGTTTACGTGACTGTGATATATGGAGTAAAGACGTGATGTATATTTGATAATATTTGTAGTATTAAATGGTTTCATCTTTCTTATAATGTATTTTTCTCAAGGAATATCTAGGATTAAAATTAAGTTATAAGTATATACATATATTAGAGGTGTTATTGCCAGTAACAAGAAACTAGTATACTCGATAAATACTATTTAGATACAGGTTTTTTATTAACTATATTTGTTTCTCTGTTGTTTTTAGGTATTTATTTTCATAGAATATTAATATTAAGACGAAGATTTGTTTTGAGTACGAAATGGAATATTTTTCTTCATATTAAAACATAAGTGCACTGAATAATTTTTGTTGCATTTCGTTGTAACTTTTTCTATTTACTGCGAAAAAAGTTGTATTACAATAACACTTATTAATGAGTATTTCTGTTTAAAAATTAAATTATATTTAAGAAAGCAAATAATTATGTAGCTTCTGGATTTTCTATGAAAACTTAAATCGGATCGTTTAACTGTAAAAATAAAGGAAACAAGTAATAAAGGAATGGACTATAAATAAAAGCTATCGCTTGTATTTACATCTTTATTTATAAATATTTTTTTTTACATTTTTTACTTAATCACTATTCTTAGGGTTCGTCAGATTCGCTCTTCACCAACCATGGGCAAGGGGACTTGAATGGTAGTAACCGGAATGCGCAAGGGGAGCACTGTAGGCGAGAGGGGCAGCAGCGTACACGCTGTGCGCAATGGGGGCGACGGCTGCGGTGGCAACCACAGCGGGGCTGGAGCGTACATCAACACGGGACTGATGAGATACGGCAGAGGGAGCCACGGCGACTACGGGGGCGGCGATGGCGTGTGACACAACTGGGGCAGCAACGGCGTGGGAAACCACGGCGGGGCTAGAAATAACATCCACACGAGATTGCTGGGAGATGGCAGAAGGGGCAATTATGGGAGCAGCATAGCCGTAGGGAGCCAGAGAGCGTTTCTTCAGCAAATGTCCGTGTCCAGCGAGACCGTATGCAGAGTGACCCAGGAGGGGAGCAGCATAACCGGTGACTACTGGGGCAGCAACGGCGTGAGACACAATAGCGGGGCTGGTGCGCACATCCACACGAGATTGGTGAGAGACGGCGGCCGGGGCGGCGACCACAGCTGGGGCCACGACGGAGTGGGCGACTGGTGCGACGACTGAGTGAGCTAATGGTGCAGCAACTACTGGAGCGTAATGTCCTTCCAGTGCCTTAGCTTGGTAGTGGATGGCACGAGCGTTGATGACTTCTGCTGTGTCCAATGGACGGCCGTGGGGGTCCAGCACGAGTGCGGGAAGATGAGGCGGTTGGGCCAATGGAACCAAGGAGCCGCATGCCACTGCGGCGAGAGCGAAGAACACCACCATCGATTTCATTGTGAACGTGGTCTGTGTTTTCTGAACGAACTAGATCACTTCAAACCGCACACGGTCGACTGATAAATTTGACTTGCCCTCCGCCGTATTTATACTGACCGGACATAATTAAAAGGTAAGGCAATTTCAGTAAGTACATAATAATATTTGCTAGAACAATGTCAGTTGTCAATATGACGAGTGACCTCGGACGTATGTAGCGGTCATAGTGAAGGAATTTCGTGGCCGGGGTATGTAGTGCGCACCGACGTCAGCCCGAAATGTGCACTTCGGTGTTAGTTTGTGTCGATTTAGTCTCGAGACTTAGACTATATCAGTCTTAATACTTAATATATAAAAAATATATAAGTATTAGAAAAATCTGTTTAAATTTAATATATAAAGCATCCAATTAATGTTTCACAAACAAATATTTCAATACCATATAATATTCATAAAGACGTACTTACATAAATTATGGTAGCAGTACCTACGATCAACGTTGCGGAACGTTCTTCATTATGCTATAAATTTTATTTTAATTTGTGAAACTTAAGTTTTTGTCTATTGATACTTGCTTATTAAAAGGTCCTTGAACCCGACTCTTAAACAAGTGCCTAGTTATTCAAGGTTATCTCATTGGTATTAAGCATAGTATAAAGTTCTAACTTAAAGATACTAACATGCTTTTATTTAATTGCAATGTTCTCGTTCATGACTGGAATAAATTGATTGATTGAGAATAACCTCATTAGTTCGTATATCCAAAAATTTATATCGATTAATTAATTGCTAAAATGTTAAAAAATAACCAACAAACAAACTCACTTTCACTTTTAAGTTTAGATAAGTAAGAAAGCTTGTTACTAGTAAGAATCAATTATTCTCCCGGCACCGGTTTCAGATATACAAAGTTACATATTTCATATGTGTCCCGAATGGCAAACAAGATGACTTTCTAGCTGATAGGTATACAGTATAGGAATTGGTACCTGTCATCTGTATACATATATCCATAACATCCTTGACATATGACATTATATGTTGCCCATGCCGGAGTATACGATGGGGATGTATGATGCCGGAGTATATTATCTTACAAAGAAACAGTTCATTGAGAATTTTCTACAGTATCCAACAGAGTCTTAGTTCTAAGTATAACAGATATTTAAATAAAAAAGAAAAATCTTCATCAAACAATACACTAACATTAAGCCTAAAATTTAAATATATTATAGTATAGTCACCTATATTTCTCTGTGTACACTTCAATAGATCTGTGAATAGAAATAATCTATATTTAATATGTTCCATTATACTACCGGACATTCAGAATGCAGATATGAAGGATAGTAAGAAACTTATCGGTTGTTCTTTTTAATAGATGTTAAGTTTAATACGAGTACTTTCAATATTTTTTGTGATTAATAAATTAAATAATCCAAGTAGCACTAATTTACAGGAGTAATATCGTGATAAGGACAAAAACGTTAAACGTTCACGTAATAAAGAGGAATTAGGAATAAATTTCATAGAGTACGCTATTAATATTTAATAACATATTCTGTGAAAATGGGGCGAAATATACCAAAGAAAGCTGAATAAAATACGGGAAAGAGGTAGTAAAAAAGAAACCATAATAAATAATTGATTTTATATCATTTTGAGTTTCAAGACACCACTTACATTACTTTACAATTCTGATTCATTCATCAGAGCAGACCAGTAATAAATAGCAGTCGTTCATGAATAACTACAAAACTTGTCAAAGTTACAGTTACAAATATTATTGATAAACACCTCCTGAACTAAAATATCATATGTAGCATGTAATATTATGTTATCTGTGTATGTAGGTAATGCTATACTGTGCTTTCAATTTTGAAAATACGTAAAGCCTAATTTTAATAAATAAAAAAGCACATGCAGTGGCCCTAATAATTTCAATTCTTTGTCATAAAAGTAAAAAGTAAGACATATTCATGATTATCTGTTTCTTCCTAATCCCATTTATTTGGGGTCGGCGTAGAACTACAAAATACATATAGTTTTCATATTATCACTATGTTAATGTACACGACACACGACTGTACTAAACGGATGTTCCGATTCGGTCCTCTGACTATTTTTACAAAATCCACTCCATTTGTATTTGTACTAGCTGAAAGGTTGCGTTGAGTATCCAAAAGTTCATTCCATTTCTGTGGGTCAGCGACACTTAAATTAATTCATTTTTGCCCTTACAAATTGGGATTGTTCGATAATGGACTCTATATTGTATACAGTACTATTTAGAGAGCATTCTATTTCAGATGATTCGTTATTTGAAATGGCTATTCACAATTATATATTCTTTATTTCATAAAATCACTTTTTGAAACTACTTCATTTGGTAAATTTTGACAAGTAGTTTACAAGTTATCAAAGAACAGTAGAACATCAATATACATAAATAAATATACACACATACATATCTGCTAAATTCCTAACACACCTTTTTGTTTCGCCATTATCGGGTAAAAAATTGTATAACGTCACTTGCGATACTCAGTTTTGACAAATAAATTGAGAAATAAATGCGTATATAAATGCGACCACTGTGGATTACAGTTATACGTGACTGGTCGTGATTGGGACTGCCGGATGAAGGGACGTTGTTCCTTTTCTATCTGAGATTTTAGAAGGCACTTGATCAGATTGGGATACTTAATCATTTAAAGGTGTGATGACGGTCGCCATTTGACAAGCGTCTAATTTTTTAACAAGATCTGAAACTTTTATGTTGTTAAAATGTAAAACCTAAAAATAGATTGTACGTTTAATGCTAATAATATTTAGACTCTTCTGTTGATCCAATTGGTTCTTTAGGAAATCATAATGTGGATATCAAGTACGAGCTATTCACATGTTTGATAGGCATGAATTGTCATCTCCAGATATATTGTCGACACTGATGACCTTTTTTTAAACTGCATGTTCTGTAGAACATTGTTTTTTTCATATTATATGATAGATTCACGAGCTATAAAAAAGGTTGTCAGAGACACATATCGTTATTTTTTTAGTTTGTTTGTTCCTGTTTCACAAATACTTTAGATTATATTAGATATATGTATAGATGTTTTATGTTTTAGAGAGTCGAGAAAACTATGCGACTTTTTTACTCAATAGCTATCTCAATACCGCTTAAAAAAAGTTGGTAGTTCTTCGTTTCTTTAATACCTAAACAGAATTTGCAATTAAAGTAAATGTATTGCGTAACGAGAACTTAATTTCTACATAGTCTTAATTTAAAATTTATTGTTATGATAAGAACATGTATTTATAATAGATGTAAGTTTATAAAATTATAACTTAACATTGAACTTCAATGAACTATGTTCAATGAACTGTTTGTTTGTAAGATAAGAAAATTATTTTTCTAATAAATGAATTTAGATGTATAAAACATTATAGGCTATACATTGACTAAATCACTAACGCAATATTTTTTATGAAATATTTATAATACCACGGTTACTTTAGGCGCTTCATTGTAAACATTGTGTATTGTAAATAAACATAATTAATGCATAATTAAAGCGCCAGGAAAACATATTATTGTAATAAAAAAAATCTTATTACGTAAATATGAAGGAAATTAATCGTATTTGTAATTTGATACCAGACTAATGATGTTTCAGTATTCCGTAACGAAGCTATATTTATAATAAGAGATATATACGGGTATTTATAACGAAGATATTTCGGTACTCATTTATTATTTCATCTTAAAATATCTTCTCGAATTGTGTAATAAATATTCATGTTCAATTTGTAACATCTTATACCTATTTTCAGGGAACTTGAAAAATAAGAACGTTGTGAATAGACAAATTTTTATATATTTACATATTTTAAGCATAAGATGTACATTCCACTATTATTAATTACTTAAAATACGAATAAAATATATTATTCATTATTGTTCCTTTGTAAATAAGGAACCTATTTTCTTCACTCCTTTTTCAAATGATATAGTCAGTGAATGAAAATTTCATTATAGATTTTATCGAATCTCATAAGTTATTTTAGCTACGGTTAGTACCTAGTTTTTATTTGTAAAAGTTTTTATTGTTTCAAATTAGATACTCCCTAATCATTCGTACGTGATTTATATTTAAGTATACACAGATGTTACTAGGCGATATGACATGGAGATGTATCTATATACGTATATTTTATGGACTGATTAAGTAACAAAAGGGTGTATAGCATGGTATAGCGCCATAAGCTTTTGATATAAGATAATGCAAATGTAAGTAATAAAAGTTATAGAGCAAATTCGTGACTGACGTTTAACAGTAGCAGAAAACCGAAACTGGTGTCAAAGTTCACAGACGTTTGGATTTTATTTGTGTTTTATGTCATCATATATTGTGCACACTAGTATGATATTAACATTTTATATTTTGTATCGAAACAGACGTTGTAAATGTAACTCAGTCCCACTTATGTCACGCGTAAAGCAGCTTGATTAGTAATCAGTGTTTCGGTGGATATGATGTTGAAAAGACAGTGAAATTACAGGATATGAAGGCATATCATTTTAATTCTCTGAGTAACTTTAGGCACTTCATTATCGACATTGATATCGTACTGTTACTGTTACTATAGTCAAATCTTGACCACAATTATTGCATCCTAGTTGAACCGTCTAAGCCGTATATTCCATAAAATTATTCCTGTGTTAACGAATCTGTAATTGAATAATTAGTTAGTTTAAATAAATATCATTTATATATTTAAAAATAATGTTATTGGAAAATGTATGTAGGTATGTGTGACTGTATAACCACAGATATGGTATAACGTACCTAGTGAATTCCTTAAGTTCCAATAAGAAGTATGATATTCCTGATGCAAGTTGCAGGTATATTACGTCATACTATGTTGCGCAAATATTAGATCGGTTATCAGTTCATATCCTGTTTATTTATTTGTAGGAGTTACGGCCATTAAGTGAAACTAGGCGACTAACTTTCCGGTATTCAATAGGTATCTATTACATTTTATGTGGCTTACCATTGTGGACAC